GATTCATTTAAATAGATTCGGGAGTCGGTTACGTGTGGGGAAGGGTAAGCATCCCCACAACAACCAAAATTGGTACTGTGTCGCTTACACATCGTCGTAAATGGTGGAAATTACAAATCGAATATAAAGTTAAAATATGATATGTTTATCGAAAATTGATTAATTTGCTTCGAATTAAATAATTAAAGAAAATTCTTTAACTCGAAAAGAAATCTCAAAATTAGCAATCCTCCGTCGGGAAAGCTAACTCGAATATTTCTTATCAGTTAAAGAATATTCCCTCCTCATTAATATTTTAAAAAAACGTGAATCGAATATAAAATGAAAATCGATCTTCACATAAAATACATCGCTATTTAGTAATATACATCGCATTGTTCAACTTAAAATAAAAGGAATTAATTAGCAAAATAAAATCAATTTTATTTCAAGTTTACATTTGTTCGAACGTCGTATCGGATTACACCACTTCGATCAAACGATGCTTTCCACGTCCATTCTACAAATCGTACTCTTAAAACACACGAACAAAAAATCTTAACAAGCAAAGATATTTTATAGGAATTAAATTATAGAATACATAAAATAAGTACTCAGGTACACATTTGCAAAACTATATATAAATATGGAAACAACATATATAATAATACACGCAGACAAATAAAACATAAATTTACAACTAATGTTTGATATAATAAGTAACAATGCCATAATGATAACAACGATCAGTGGAAAATAAATTGTATATTATATATCTACAAACAGATTTTACCAACTAGAATAAAAACATAAAAATTAAAGGAGCATGAATAAATTAAAACAATAATAAACTGGAAGGTGAAAATTTAATCACGACGCAAATCAACAGATAAAAACGAATTTCGTACATTGCATACATTGAAATTTTAATAAAATGAATAATCGAATACATGACAAAATTAAAGATATTAACATAATGTAAAGAAATATAACAAGTCCAGAAATCACAAATCAGAAATAAATAAAAACAGAAAATATAACATATTTAGTGACCAAATTAAAAAAACGAAACTGAAGTGCCGAAAATGAAATAAACAAAACAAGGAGATCCGAGGACTAAAATGTGAGACACGACATTGTATTAGGGGTTTAACGTGAATAATCTAATACTTTGAGCGACCAATGTAAAGGATGATGAGAAATGGAGGGAGCATAGTTGATATTAACCCAAAATTGATTTTAAAGTATACTCTTTGTTATTTCAGTGAAATCTAAACGATTTGGCCCCCCCTCTCCCCTTTCTAAAGGAACAGAATGCTCTCCCTTCTTCGTGCAAACGGTGACCGACTCTCAAACACCTCGGTCACCCTCTAAGGATGGTCATTCCACTCCAACCGGCGGTTTACGAAACACGGGAAGTCCACCCAACGGAACTCCCTCAACGACACAATGTTTCCTTACCTCCGTTCTTCGGCTGAACGAACCAAACCCATGGCCGACCACCACATGCGGTGGTGCCACGACCTAAACCTACCTCGCAAGACCCCCGCTATCCTTCCCCGACGACAACCTTGGCCTTGACGAAGCACACTGGCAGCGAGGTAATCTAACTCCCTATCTCTATTTATTTTTTTTGAAACTGTAAAATTTGTATAAAGAACCTAGAACGAAAAATTATACACTAAAATCTATTTTTCAGTTGTATTATAAGGATTTAGAAAAATAAACCGAGCATGAAAATAAACAAGAAAATACCTCTTTGCTTCAAACAATTTTCGGTTCCTCTTTTTTTATTGCTGAAAAATGTTTTTTGCTGAGAAATATTTTGTTACAGTGTTCTTCCTTCTCTCTTTTTCGTCCCCCCTCTACACTGATTTCTTGGGGTTTTATATAACCCATTTTACATAAATATAAAACAGAAAACAAAATGGTTGATTCCTTCACGTTCTGTAATACTAGGCTTTGGAGGTGATGCTGGCCTGTTGGAGCAGAGCATGGTCACGTATGGTGACCGGCATGGAGCTAACACAACATGGTGACTGGAGCATGGCATGGTGTGAGTTGCTGGTGGCAGAGAGGTATGGCACGGGATATGGTGACTGGCAGAAACCAGCTCTGGACCGGGTCGGATCCCCCTTTGGGTCGGGTCTTGGATCAACTGTTGGGTCACTGGTTGGCCTGCAAGCATGTAACAACAAAATTAAATAAAATAATAATAATAATAATAAATAAAAAAGACCCGGACAAAAACAAGTGTCTACACACCCAAAATGTTATGGCAACTTTCACCGGTCGAATATGATCAGTAGTCTTCTGCAAAATGATGGCCAATATATGAATTACAAGAGCTAAAAGAAAAATATTACTTTGGGTTGGCTTTTTTTTCTTTTCTTTTCATTTTTGCCAATTTTGGCGGTCTCTATACTTGTAAGCTTGAATTCAGTGTGGAAAATGATGCAGTTTAGCTTGAATTGAGTTACCAAAGAAAAGCCTTTTTTTTTTTTTGCTTCACTGAATTTCTCACTAACTTTTCTGGTTCTAAAGGATATTGTTTGTATGTTTCTTCAGCTTTCTTTTCTTTCCCTTTCCTTCCTTTTTTTTTTATTACATATCGACTTGATTTTCCTTTTCAATCATGCAGAGAAATTGGAGATGGGACATGGGAATCTCGGTTTATGCCTCTGGAAGAACAGGTAAAACTTCTTACAAGACATTTATTGCAGTTGCTTGTTTGCAGGCAAATGTGGTTTGTGAGAAGGTGATGTATTGTTCTGGGTAATTTGTTGGTTTTGGAGTTCATCTTCCCTTTGACAAAACTCCAGTTTGTTGTCAACAGGTTAAGCAAACGAAAGAACTGAGTAATGGTTACAACATATTGGTCTCTCCCAGGTGATTTTTCCAATTCAATTCACTAATTGATGCACAAATACTTCACTTGTTCATTGATAGTTCCATTTAATAGCATTGCTTTTGCTGGGATTCACATACTGTTGTTTCCTCCTTCCTTAATCCACACTTTTATTTACAATCTGCAAGGATATTTTTGTATAGTATACCATCACGTTGAGCAGGGGAATTGGTAATAGAAGCTTAGATAAACGAATTCATGGACTATCTAAACGAATTCAGAGAAGTTAACAACTAGATAAACGAAAATGCATCTAAAACCTTTGTTGATCGTGTTGGTTGTTTTTATAGTTTGATGCTGAGAGGCAACTTCCATTCATGGACTATCTTTCTCAAACATTTACTTGGTTTAACAGGGTAACTTGATAGCCCGGGGTGTTATAGAGTTTTGTGATGGTGCGCCACAGGTACGATCCGGCCTATGATAGAGCTTCTATTTATGGGAAGATTATCTAGTTGGCTTATGATAGTGCGTCAACAGCGGACAGCGTTCGGAGTAGCTACGTCGAAGTTCATGGACCTCATCGTAAGGTCATGGTAAACCATAAGAGAGAGCAAGCAGTGCCTTTGTTGCAGGAAAAAGCACCATCCGAACTCATACTCGAAGGATCGTCATCGTAACGGTGGCCCCCGTCAGTCCAAAGCTTCATCGAGGAATTACTTGGACTTACAGAAGATTAAAGCCATACCCTTATATTTGATTTACAGAGTATTATTTGAATCAATTCAGTAGAGGTTATTAAAAGATCATCTCCATGTTGGTTTGGAATAGAAGTTAATAGCCTTACCAGCTTAACCCTTGTAAGGATAAACAGAGTAATTTATCATATCATTTAATAAACGAAGAGATATGAATGTTGAGCATCTTTCTAACACTTTACAAACAAATTAGAGTTTATTTTGGCATTATGGACGTAAACGAATATATTGAGTGAATTGTTCGTAAAATTTTCGTTTGTGTTTGTTTGTTAAGTTAAATAAACGAGTATTAACATATATTTTAATGTTCATTTAATAAACGAATATGAGTTGAAGTGTATTTGGTTCGTTTATATTACAAACAAGCTCGTTTAACACTTCATTTATCGGCTCGTTTATAAACTCATTTATCTGATTTTCTTATTTCTTTTATTTTATATATTTTAAATATTGGTGAAATTATGAATTAAATTGAACACAGACTAGTGGAGTAATTTTACCATTTTTCTTTGCAAATAAAATTATAAAAATAGTGTTGATCGTCGAACATTAAATGAACGTCAAGAATATGTTCATAAATATTAAAGAAACATGTTTATGAAGGGTGTTTACGGTCGTTTAAAATCAAGTATTTATGTAATTTAAAATAATGTATTTCTGTAATTTAAAATCATGTATTTCTTCCATATGTGTTAGATTTATTGTGATCCTATATAACATAAACATGATAACAAAAAAGTAGGAGGAATCATTTTGATTTTATTTTTAATTCTATTCTCTAAAAAATATAATTAATTAATTATAACCATAACTGTTAATCGATATTTTTAACAGTTCGATTAACTGAAACCGTTTAATCTTAACGGTTTGGTTAATTAACCTATAAAATGTAGCGGTTACATCGATTAATAGTTACGATTAACGGTAACGGATTAATTTGAACACGGGCTAAATAAATTAAATGTGAATACTTTAAAAAACAAACAAACAAATATAAATACAATATTAAAATTTTAAACCAACATAAATTATTTTAAAAAATAAACAAACGAAAATAAATCAAACATAATTACCTTAAAAAAGTAAACAAACATAAGAAACAAATTGGTTCATTTACGATCCTATTTAGCATAGAGTACGTGCACAAAGTGAAAACTTAATTTGTTAATATATATATATATATATGTATGTATGTATATGATGGTATATTTTGTATGATAAATATGACATATGATAAGATCAAACTCAATACTAAATAATTTTGTAGTTTTAATTATAGAAATGTGAAATGCTTGGCAAAGATACAATAATACAGGTGCAATTTTTGTCCCCACACAATCCCAAAACTATATATTATGTACGAGAAAAATACAAAATAAGGAAGATGTAATTAACATTGCTGATTAACACCAAAAAATATTAAATTAAACTAATTAAATATGTCAAAAGCTTGGTTGGGCCGACAATACAAAACATGAAAGACCCACCAAAATCCACATTCTAACCACCATATCTTTTAGACCCAACATCACGAGTCCTTTCACGTTTACCGAAATGCCCTTGCATGGGCGTCGAACGGGTGAGGAACGGCCGGGGCCCAAGGATTGACGTGTATGGGTCTGTATTGGGACCGTGGATCGACGGCGGTGGATGGCGGGTTGCGTGGGACCGCCACCCTCTCACATGATGTGCACATGGTGAGGGTGGTTGGTGGGGTCATTTGCATGTAGAACTGCGTGGAGGAAAGTTTCAGTGCTCTCAGCTCCTGGACTTCCTTCTGCAACCGTCGGTTCTCCTCCGTTAGATTTTCACAGCATCTCTTAAGGAACTCGCAATCAACCTCCGTTTGCTTCAGCTTGGTCCTGCTCAAAAATAATCCCCAAATCCTATATTTAGTAAACAATATCAAACCCAGAGGACATAAATGTCATTTCATTTACTAACCTCAAAATCCCGAATTTACGTAATTGCCCAAAGAGTGATAGAAATTTTCTTACCTTGCCCTTCTGTTTTGAAACCACACCTCGACTTGTCTGGGTCGTAATCCAAGGTGCTTAGCCAATGCTAATTTTTGCTTCTGCAAATATAGTAAAAGCCATTCGTTCATCACCCAAGTGATTCGTGTTTGGTTACTGAGAAAATAGTTATATTCTTAGCAACTAAACAGTGATTTTGAAGGTTTCTCTTTGAGCAAGGACTTACGGGGTTGAGAGTGCTGTGTTCTTTAAAGCTTTCCTCGAGAGTAGCAGACTGGTCTTTAGAAAGCCTAAGCTTTTTTCTCGAAGTGTCGCCGTCTTCTTCGTCGCTGATGCCACGAGAATAGGCTTTTCCGATCTCGAGGTCATCACCGTTCCCTTCTCTCTCGCTCCTTTTTCCACTCAAGCTCGATATCGTGCTGTTTGGAGATGAAACTCCAGCTTCTTCTTCACAATCGACTGTCGATGGCAGTATGTTGATGTCGATTCCTCTGAAAAATGATCCAGCCTCGGCCCGGAAAGATTCCGAGTTATGATCTGCACGTAAAATAAGAAAAGTGGAAATGAATACTATTGTCAAAAAAGCACAAAAAAATTATACTATTTTTCTTTTTGTTTGGATTGGGTTTAATTTATCAGGGGAAAATGATACCGAAGCATCGTTTGGTTCTCGGGAAAAAGAAGGGGGTAAACGAGATCTAAACGGTGAGATGTTATACCATGCAAAGAACAAAAGTTACAGAGGAAACAATAAAACAAACCTGAAGGAGAAGAAGAATCATTCCATGAGGATTTGCTTAGGGTTAAACCAGAAGGAGAAGTGCAAGAATTAGCAGTGGAATGAACAATAGAAGGCCCGAGATTAAGCTGTAGAGAGTGGTGATTCTGGGGAAAACTCAAGCTAAGACTCAAACCCAGATCTTCCTTTCCCACCATCTTTAGTTTTTTTTTCTTCTTCTTCTTTTGCCAAACACACTTTTTCTTGTATAGAAAGTTCAGGGATGGAAAATATTTTGAACTTGGGAGAGTTGAAGATAGAGTTGAAAGATGATGAACATGTAAGAGAAGAATAGAAGATTATATAGAACATATAATAATATTAAAATATACAATTTTTTATATTAAAATTTATACATAAAATAATTTCACTTTAGAAAAAAAAAATTAAATGCGATCAGAGATACTCTAATTATTTGTCTTTCCGAATCCCAACCAGAAGGACTTAGTGGGCCAATACTTCACCTGAACGCCTCACTCTCCATGCCCTTCCTGCCTCTCAACCAACGGCCATGATCCCATGTTACATCCCTATCAACGGTCCGATCGAAATCCATTTGTGGGGACCATGTTACCTTGTGCTGTTCTGTATATAATTGGGAACCGATGCCAGTGATGCTTTAGACCAGCATCAAATCATACGAGTGGATGGTCATGATTGGAACCAGACACCATTCTTTTTTAAGGTTAAACATGGAACTCTGTAATTTCTTTAGGATAAATATCTTGAAATCGTTTAAAGATTGTCACTGAATTTTTGCTAATATAATCTATCTGATTTTTTCCGAATTTTCAGGGGATATTTATGTATCTTGTGTGAAAATATGATGCAAGAGAGAGAGCATGTTTGAATTAGTGAACAGTCATCATTTCTTCTTGACTTTGAATTTTAAGACAAATTAACCCGTTTTTCAGGGAAGAGATCAAATTGTTGTCTATGCCATCAATGACGACTGACAAATATTGTTTTTCCAACAATGAAAATCCACTCACCTTTTATGACTTTGGTTTCAATAATAATAATAACTGTATCATCTCTTTTATTTTTATACATGTAAATGATGTAAATGTTTCACTAACAGACATAATAATTGTCTTTGTCAACTTAACTATTCAACCTTCTCATCACTCATTTACTATGTTTGATGCTTGGCATCCGCCTCCTGTAAGGTTAATACTGATAGGTCCCGTGACATAGAAACGGATTTACGATATGTGGGAGTGTCATTCGATCCTCGAATAGTAGTTAGATGCTTAGATTCTCAAAAGTGATCGAAATATGTTTTATAGTTAAAGCGGAGTTATGGGGTATCCATAAAGGTATTTCATCTCATGCTTGAAATCTAGGAGAGAAGCAAATCACAGTGGAAACAGGTAGTTTGGAGGCTGTCCGGATGTTAAAAGAAAACTCTAAGAGATGTTCGATTTTTACTCTTATAGACCGTGTGAATGAGTTGATTAATAGAGACTGTAACGTTGTTTTAAAGCACATAAGCCGGACTGCAAATAAGGTAGCGGATAGACTAACTAAGATTGTCGCGAATAGAGGAGAAGTTCATATGATTTTCTCCACCCCACCACCGGAAGTGATTGATCTAGTCCAACAGGATGCTGCAAATTGCACGTTGACAGAAGAGGACTAATCCTATATAGTTTTACTTCTTTTATTCAAAAAAAAATATTGTCCATGCTATGCTCAGCTCAAGGCTCCAAAGGACCAACGTCAAAGGATACGGATTTAAGAAGATATATTAATTTTTTTAAGAAATATAGAGTTATAAAGTTTTAAGATGTGTTAAATTAGATAACTAACCAAAATTAAAAAAAATATAAAATGTAAGAGAATTTAAAAAATTTAAGAATAGACCGCACTCCTAACTCCAATCGTAGACTTTGGATGCCAATATTTAAGATACAAATGAGTGTGTTCTTTTCATTTATAGATTCATCATTACTAATCTTTCAACAAAAGAATTAAATGTGTTTGACATATTCTTAAATTACTAATTCAACTCAAATTATCAATGAAAATAAAAAAAGTTGAGGTTTCAAATAAAAGTAAAAAATCTATTAAATTACGGATTTTCATAGATTAGGTTGGATCGAGTTTTCAATCCATTTGAACTTGATCCAAAATGTAAAATTATATATTCATATCTGACTCGACTAAAATATTAGAAGGTTTTATTCTATCAAAAAATTAATCTTTTTTAGGTGAAAATCGGTATTCAACTTGACTTTTATATATATATATATATATATATATATATAAAAGAGATAATTATAACATTATATCTAATTAATTTAAAACTTCTCATCCAAAATGACTAAATTTAATCTATTATTTTAAAAATATTTAATGGCTCGATTTAAATTTAAATTTTATTAATAAAAATATCAATTGAATTGAATTGAAATATTTTAAACTCAATCAAATGCCAATTAATACCTCCAATTATCAATTATTTGTGGTATAAGGAAAACATCCGTGACCTTCCCAGAACTTGAAATTGTTTTCTTTCCAAAGGAATAGAAAACTATGGCACTCAAAAGAGAAGAATAAAAAAAGCTTAACCAGATGGGATTCAAGCACATCGGACGGTCGAGAAAGATTGAACTTTTGACATAATGTGGGGTGATGATTGAGGGCGTCCTCTCGAGAGTACGTGAAATCTGTCCCCACGTGTTCCCTTATTTACTTGGGACCCTTCAATAATACATCTCTACTCGACACTATCAAACAATATCCATCCATCTCCCTTGTTCTTTTTTAATAAACAATAAAATGATTTACGGCAGGCCAAGCCCTCCCCGTACGAGGCTTGTGATACGCACGTGAAATCGGTCCCTCTTTGCCTTCTTCTTAACTCTTCCCCTTTTCATAAAAACAATATTATAATTAAACTTTGGTAATATTTAAAATAATTTAATCACGAATTCATCAAGTGAGTTTAATATCAACGAGTGTCGATACAAGTAGTTAAAATTCAAGAGTTTGAATTTGTAACGTTAAATTTAAATTCTATCACTGTTATTCTTGGTGGTTAATCTGTAAACTCCTAAATTAATTTTTTTTACAAAAAAAAGAAATCAAATAACTTTAAAGATTAAAAAGAAAATTATTTCCTATATATATATATTCTCTTCTTATGTTCCATTGTCATGAAAAACAGCTAATAATGTGAAAACGTATGGGTATCAAAGTGAAAATATCAAAAGAAATCTTTGATAAAAGAAAATTTTCTTATGAAGTTTTATGGCACTCCGATTTGGCCGAATCATCCATAAAATTATACTTTCATTGTCAGAACACAATCCTTGTCAAATTATTGGGTGTATCTTCCCCCATGTGATTTTCACGTGAACAAGACCCCCACCCAATAGTCCCATGTTATTCCCAATCAAGTGGAGTACACACATTTTATTACAACTCTCTTGATTTGGACATTCGGTTTTATCTAATGTCCAATGTGTGATGAATTCTGTCGTAAACCAATGAATGAGGGTTCCAACATGCATCCAAATGAAAGAATTGGTGATGTCCTCCTCAAACAGATACTCAAATCTTTGTGTTATCTGATTTTCTTAAATATCAACGTATGAGTTTCGATGTAAACGAATAGTTATTATTCTTAAAAGTTTCAATATTAAATATTAAAGATTATAACATGAGTAATTAAACGTTCTCATTGTGGAATAAAAGTTTTGTCTCGTTAAAATAAACATGAAAGATAATTGTCATTCTCTTACTAGTTCACAATAAATATTATAAAAAAATATTAAATTGAACTAAGATAAGATTATGTAGCTTCAGAATGTATTAGATATTATTATAAAATATATTTTATTGTATAATTTATCATTCAATATTCAATATATTATTTTGTTATAAAAACGAAATAAAAATATTCAAAAAAACTCAAGAAAATAAAATAAAAAAATTGAAGAAAACGGCTTCTTTATTTTTACTGCCCTCGACCCTTGTACTACTTTTTTTTTAAAAACCACAGTTTTAAGAAATCTGAAACCAATAAAACAAAAGGTAAATTACGCATTTGGTATTTAAATTATTAATTTTTGTATATTTTAGAATTTAAATTTTTAATTTTTTCAAAATTATATCTTAACGTTTAGTTTTTATTTTATTTTGATACCTGTCATTAGAAACTTGTTTAGTACCTAAACTATCATTTTTCTTATCCGTTTTAGTAACTAAACTTTCAGTATTTTCGAAACTTAACGTTAAATTTTGAACTACGGTATTAATATGAAACAACAACTAAAGTTTTTAACCACGAGATACAAAAATGAATCAAAAATTAAACTTTAAGTATTGTTTTGAAAATTTTGAAAGTTTAGATACCAAAACGGATCAAAACTGATATTTTAAGTATTAAACACGTAATTGATCCTAAAACAAAATATGCATGAATTAATTTATATAAATACCTAACATCATATACTTTTAATTAAATGTTATGAAGTGTATGATCAGTATATGCCACTTCATGATTTCGATGGTACAGCAAACGTTGGCTCATTGTCGGCGTATAAAAGATTAGTGTTATGATTAGATCAATAAACAAACAAACAAAAGCGGTTGAATGAATTCGCTGGTCAGAGCGTGAATTCTGGAATCAAACCCATAATCATGGCACATGCTTTTAGTTGCCCACCCGTGCAAGTGGGGTTTTATTAATGTTAATTTGTTAACTAATCTACCTATCAATCTCCCCAATAATTAAAGCATCATCTTTAACAACTATTGTACTACTCGTACAACGTTTTTTTGAGGAATGTTTGAAGTTAATTAATAGTTCCATGATTATATAATTCGAAAATAATGTACTATCACTGACTGAATCAAATGAAGATTTCGTGGTTGGTATTTTGAAAGATATGCAACTTTGCTTAGATTATAAGTATAATTAAGCAGTGTTAGATGCTGATTTTGTGGTTGGTATTTTGAAAATAATACTCTTTTTTATACATTTTCTTCTGCGATAGTAGCACGTATCTCTGAGACGCTTTTGGTCTACCCTTTTTGTTCTTTTGCTAATGGATCCGAATTCTCAAACTAATATGGCCGAACTCAGTTTGGAGGATGAGGAGGAGGATGTGATTACCGTGGAATCGCCGGGAACGAATTCAAGATTATCGTTTACAAACTGCTTTGTAGGGTCTTTTCTCACGATGGTTGCTATCCATTTTCAGGCTATGCGCACAACTCTGGCGGGCGAATGGCGTCCCCTTGGTGGAATAACCATAACTGATGTAGGTGAAGG